TATATATATAATAATTATATAGCTACACTCAACACTAAACAAGCACTAAGCAACATCACTCACTGATGACTGTTGGCTACTGGTAGTAGAGACTACACTGTGGAAGTTGGAGCCATCCATGAAGTCCAGATGCTCCCTCGTAGTGACTGAGGGTCCAGCTAGTACACTGTGGAAGTTGAAACAGTAGCTCATGTACTCCAGGACTGACGGCACAGAGCTGTGGAGGAGGAGACTAAGAGTTGCAGCAGAGATTATCAGGTCATCCTCACGTCAGTTTCTGCTTCTCCTGGTCTTTATTCAGAGGCCTACTATTGCCTCCCATTCCTACATAACAAAACACATTATAGGGTAATAATGTGATCGATAATCATGGCTACTTACCATCATGCATACTATAGCCTACGTAACTGATCTTCTGAACCAATACTGTCATTGGCCTGGGATGAAAAAAATAGTAATTCACTGTGAATGGTGGGTAATACATAATAATTACCAAGATATATTATCCAGACGCAATCCGCTATAGTCATTCAGAATGGAATAGAGATTTGCAACACTCATGAACACCATTATCCATCCCATGCTCCACCTGTACACAGAGAATAACATGATGTGCCCTGTACACAGAAAGTGTGTTCACTCACAAACATACATCCTTCAAGCTATATACTTCACGTAAAGTGACCCTAGAACATTTGAGTGGTCTGCATGTGTGTGTGCTCGGCTATATTTAAGCTGTATTATTTTGTCAACAAGAAAAAAATTGAATGCGAGTATTATGACTGAGTTTGTAAGCTACTTCACAAGCATTAGCTCCGATCAGTAAAATTGCCACATATTTCACAACTGGGGTATCAATTTCACTTGGCCCTTGGTGTCGAAAAGAGGGCCATGTCTTGGACAGAGCTAATTGTGTCTTCAGCCAGCATAATGTGGAAACCCTTACCTGTGGACAGTCTGTGGTGGTGCCACAAGAAGGATGATATAACCAACTGCCACACCTCCCACCAGAACTAACACTTGCCTGCATAGAGAAAGAAGAAGGAATACAATGCAAGGCAAACAATGAAGGCCCATTTGACTGAGTGCCCCCGCAAGGCTCGCGTAACACCGCGCAGACTCTGGCAAGTTACTCTTCGTGCAAATCAACAGCAAGCTAGCCAGTTGGAAATGTGCACACTTACTTACAGAAGGTACTGGAGGCTGAGAGTTCCTCTGCAGGTCTGCCAACTCGCTCGCCTGGTAATACGCTCGCTATCACATTGGACAACGCCCCTGCCTGGCGCATGCGCGCGGCTCACTGATGCTGAGTAAGCAGCAAATGGCGTTGTTCAGGTCGACCATGGAAGAGCTCCATGATCTACCGTAGTGACTAGCGGCAAGAAAGAAACGATCGCTTGATGTCCGGCGAAATTGGAGACCTTCAGTGAAAAAATCAGTGCTTGAACTGGTACTGGTAAGGAGATAGCGGGTTTAAAGAAGAAGAAGAAGAAGAAGATGAAGAATAATTATGATGACACGAAAATCGTGAAATCGCGTAGGAGCGAATTCTCGCGTGGCCGACTGAAGGTGCGTATGAGCTCTTGGGGGACATTTATAGGTAGATATTGGCCCGTAGACTATGCTAGTATGTTTTGAAGGCCTAGGGAGTGATTCTCACCGAGTTTTTAGTCGTTTTGTAGGCGGATCACGTGAGATTTCACCCTTGTCGTCCCTATATAGAGAGTCTACCGACTCTCTGATAGACCATTTTTAACCTCCAAAGAGAGGACAACCCTCCCAATGTGTCCTTTATTCTGAGGTTCCACTGTATATACTCGGGAAAGCTTTTTCTATACCTCTTGCAGACCAGGATATTAAAATTTCCAAGACCAACAATACGGTACAAGTTGACAAGCCTGAATGTACAGGAATGCGGTTAATATTTACTGCAGTCATCGCATTCTACCCTGACCAGCCTGTTAGCTATACACCCCTTTTAAAAAGCTTCCTTGATGTAGGGTTACAGGATTCAAAGAAAAGAATGTAGGTCTTACTCAGGAGGGTATCTTCTGTCTTACTGCTTTTGAGGTACATAAATTATACAAGAGCACAAAACGGTAGAGCTAAAGAAGTTGAGAATAATATATTTGGGACCAGCTCTGGTCACTCCCGTCCCAACGTACACGCTTGTCAGTGCGAACCAATTATACGACCACGCATATAGCGCACTCCTATAATATATAGTTCAATCCAACAAACCTGGTCAGGCAGGCCAAGTACACCGGAGAGGTACTGGATCAACGCTTCAAACATTTTGATCTTCGGTCTGCTTGCTGCAAGACTGGAACCTATGTAACATGCACTAACAATTAGTTGCCACTCCCGAGGTATTATACTTTACACTGACTACGGAACTCGATGCTCCTTCAGCGGCTTCTTCGCGGAGTCGCGGTTCGCAGCAATTGCGCATGCGCACTATAAAGTAAAAACGTGGGCGTGGTTCCAAAACCCTCACAGCCGGTCGTGTCGTTCCAACAGGGCAGAAGGTAGCCCAAAGTATCTGCTGTAGGCCAGTGTTTAGTTTTGAAATATAAACACCTAAAAGCACTGCATATATCTTTCATTCATACTCATGTCTGAAGAAGAGAAGGGACCAAAGAACAGTAGCTAGTTGTTCAAAGGTATTGGTTACTTGGGCACTGCCACCACACCCAATTCTCATGAAACTAGTATATACTGTCACATTACAAGCTAAATGGACACTACCCATGCATCAGTCTTGTTTTGAGTGTTTTGTGTTGGAGTCTGAAGAGAGACCAAGACCGTTGACATCTCCATTCACGTCATGTGAGTCCTTGTGTCTCTGAGACTGTCTGGATGGTACCAACAGCAGTACCAGTAGAGCAGCCACAGTTGGAACAAAGTAGTGGTGACTGTAAAGATAGAACCAAGTGGACAGAAAGAGGGAATAGAAGTCAAAAAACCTAGAGAGTTGAAAACTATGATAGTAGCTATTGTCCAGACTTTAAAGGTGTAAGTTGTATGTTCAAAGATAATAACAGGGAGCAGTTAGCATACAGTTTCTCCAATAGGGTCAGTCACTAGCCACAGCATTTTTGCCATTTGATTTCCCCTCCAATGGAAATGAATGTCAAAGTGGAGCATTAATAAGGGATGTGAGGCGTGTGACAGCCAGGACTCACCTCCAGAAGGTCCAGACAGCAGGGAACCACACCAGAACAACAGCTAAAGAACTGTAGGTCATATACACGTGAGTGAGGACCCATGTGGCTATGTGGTAGGTCCACTTCAATACTGGACCATGATCGGTGAAGAATGGGTTACACCACCTCCTCATCTGGGAGAGAGAATGGGGGGAAACTTTAGTTTGGTTACTTTGGTTTTGTGGCCATGAATGACTAAGCTTTTGCTATTAGAAAACCATTGTTAGAGTTGTATATATTGAGCTAAGCAACGAGTTAAATTGCACCTCAAGTACTTTCAAAATGAATTCATTATTGTGGCCTGAAGAATAAATTTAAGAGCCTTCTCCTAGCAAGTTATAAAGTCATTATAATATGCAATGCCCATAATACACAGCTATTGAGATAGCTACCTTCTTTGATGCCATTAAACCGAGACCAGCAGTGAAAAAACAGAGATAGAATCCAGGATAGAAGCCATGCCACCAGGCCGAAAACAAGAAGCTGGCCAGAGTTGGATTCCATGACACTCTCTCATAAACCACTCTATGATGGCAAGCAAATGAGACATAAACAGGACAAAGTAGACACACAAGGAAAGACAAATGTTTCAATGAAAAACTACATTAGGCCTTTCTCAATGCATAAAGAAAACAAACACTTGGATTTGAGAATAACACACAGACCTTCTTATCCACCGTGAGCTAGTAATATTCCACGAGTTGACTGAGTTTCTGGGATTCATAGAGAGCTCTATACTCAGTATATCAATATTGGACGCCAGTCCCCACTTGGGTCTGTTTTGTTCGTCATAACCTTCGAACCCTAGCCCAGCTGCATTGCTGATGCTGTCGTTGAGAAGGAAAACAAAGTAGAACCGACAACGGACAACAAAGCACACCAGCGAGAAACACAACAGTTTCAGGATTATGTTCATGGACGAATCTGTGATAGGGTAAAGTTCACACATTACACTATAATAATACTTGAAAGAGTGCAACGCATTTTTAGTGAGCGAAGAAAGCAGTTCAATATTTCGCGCGTTTTGCACGTATTTAGAATCAGGTTAACATTACAGTATGTGTTGTTAGATGCACTGTTACACATGGAAAAATTCCACATTCAGAAAACTAGGCAGACTCACTTCGCTCGCCAATCATGCATGTAGGTCATACATTACCTATAATAGGTAACGGTGAGTTGTAGTCTATCAATGAGAAATAGAGAACACAGAAGAACACTGACACCAGAAGCTTTGACAACACTGGATACTGCAAAATGGACCAGCAAGTAACCTTTAAACTACAAACAGTGTCTCAAGTAAAGTTCCATTTCTTATATTCAGATTTTCCACAAAATCATAAAAGAATCAGCACTCTTCCTCTAAATATTGTAAGAAAACAAGGTATATACACTTCACCAAATGCAGAATTTAGCAAAGTTTGATTGTCATCTTCGCCAGTCAGGGTTCACAAATTTGTGACTGTGTATAATACAATCCATACTACAAGGGTGACAAATTTGTGAACCCTGAAATTATAGTGTGACAAATTTGTGAACCACATGTTGGTATTGTAGTAAAAAGTGCCCATCAATTGAAAGGTTTGTCATCCAGTTGCTCAAATTTTCAACATGAATCTGCTAATTTGCAAAATGACATAAAAGTGCTGAGTATTTCATGAAAATCAAACAAAAACTGAAAAATGGAAACGGAACTTGTAGTTGAGACACAAAAAGTAATATTAAACTCTACTACACTAGCCAAAAGTATTTTTCACACCAAATATTTTGGCTGAAAATTGTCTTACCAAAGTTGAAAGTTCTCTGTGAGATTTAGTGGACTGGAAACAAAGACAAACAATAGAATTATGATCAAATGAGGAAGAGAAAGACAGAGAGACAAAGGAAGTAATACACCCACCAGCAAACTGTACACAACACTCTCTCATTAAAAAATAAGAAACTTGTTTTTCAAGTGAGGGTATAAACTGAAGAAACTCATGTCACTTTACTGAAAACCTTCCTGCACATCCAAAACTGCTGGAAGCATGCTTCCTGCACATTCAGATATGTGCAGATGTGTAGGAAGCATTTCAAAAAGTGCAGCTAGAAATGAAAAGGTGTAGAAAATACTCCTGCAAAATCCCCATATTTTTTACATGTGCAGAAGAATTTAAAGCTTCCTCATATTCTTCCTGCACATGAACAAGTTGTGCCGGAAATTTCTTACATTTTGCTTGAAATTCCTGCACACTTCCTGTAGCTACATTCCCCATACATTACATGGGTTTCTCATTTAAATGAGAGAGTGTTACACACATAGATGGTGACAATATTTCCACATAATAAGCTGAAACACAGCAACATCACTCACTGATGACTGTCGGCTACTGGTAGTAGAGACTACACGGAAGTTGGAGCCATCCATGAAGTCCAGATGCTCCCTCATAGTGACTGAGGGTCCAGCTAGTACACTGTGGAAGTTGAAACAGTAGCTCATGTACTCCAGGACTGACGGCACAGAGCTGTGGAGGAGGAGACTAAGAGTTACAGCAGAGATTATCAGGTCATCCTCACGTCAGTTTCTGCTTCTCCTGGTCTTTATTCAGAGGCCTACTATTGCCTCCCATTCCTACGTAGAGAAGTCTTGAGCTATTATTATACATTAGTACAGTCACTTACCATCATGTATACTAAACCCTACATAAGTAAGCTTTTGAACCATTATCATCATTGCCCTAAAGTGAAGTAATAACTGATTTTCATGGCTGATATAAAATTAATGATAGTATTATAATATATACCAACGAATACTCAAACTCCATACGCCGTAGTACATATTTCCAGCACTCATGAATAATACGGCCCATCCCATACTCCACCTGCATAAGTATGAAATGTACAAAGTGTGTGCCATATCACAGTGGTTTGAGGTTTGCCTGCGTTTGAATCCAACCTAGGCCAGCTCTTCTTTTTTCCTTGGAAAAAAAAGAGCTGTCCTGGGTGTAGCTAGTCGATTTGTTTGTTGCGCCTTTCCCTTACTACCTCGTAGTTCAACATGCAAGTGCGTGAATATTGGTGGAGATGTACTCAAAGCATTAATGGCTGGTGGCTTGCAGAAATAAAGAGACATACGTGTAATAAGGGCTCTTACCTATGAACAGTCTGTGGTGGTGCCACAAGAAGGATGATGTATCCAACTGCTACAAGTCCAAGCAAAGCTAACACCTGCCTGTTGAACAAGGAGAGGGAAAGAGAACAATCTGAAGGAGGGATCTAATCTGAAGAGTGTTGTGACTGACAGTCTACATGGCCCAAGAGGCAAATATAAAAAATTTTATTCCTAGGGGAGGAAATTAGTGTAAGCCCTTTTAATTTCACTGGATTTATGATGCAAAACACTGAGCTAATGGTAAAAATTGGAAGTGCAGCATACAGTACTTTGTGAGTATGATTCAGGCAGAGAGAGGCCCATAATATCCACAACTGAACAGGATGCAGCAAATGCCACACTTTTTTCTTCAGTAAACAAGTAACATTATAGCTGCAATGAACGAGCAAACTCAGTTATGCTCTTGGCCACTCTACCTAACTCAGGCTCTTTGCAGTGTTTAGAGCAAATGCCAGACATTGTGTCCTCCAAGCAAGTGATTTCGTGCCCCTATGCTGCAATGAACGAGCAAACTCAGTTATGCGGCACTAACCTATATAGCTATACACAGTGTGATTGGAGTCACCAAGGTGTATAGCAACCTATACTCACCAGCCATAGCAGAGGGTGGCGATGGTGAGACCAGAGAGAGAAGAGAAGAGATGTCTGACATGGAGAGAGGTCCAGGAGGGATGGAGGATGTGACGCAGCACCAATGCCAGTGGATACCCCATCAACAACAGGGGTATGAATCTGACCTGCAATGCGGGATAGAGGAGACACAGGTTTAATGCCATCCCTCTTTAATACCCTTTACTTTTTACAGTGCACGGGTCCAATAAAGGACAAAGAACCTCTTAATAATAATAAAGGATACATTTTCAAGTCCCAACTGTTCCTTTCTCCTAGCACATTTCGTTACCAAAAAGTTTGGACAACCCTCTGTATAAAGGACAAAATTCCTGGTCCCAACATGCCATTCATTCAGAGGTTACTATACATGGAAAAGCCTTTCTGATGCCTCCTGCACCCCAAGATATCAGGACCACTGTAGTACTGTATTCCTACTAGGAATGCGCACGCGCATATTTTGCCTCGCGCAATGCGTAAGTGCGACTGAGGCCGCTCGTGCGCGCGCTCTACTGACTGCGCGCGCGCGAAGCCAGAAATCTGCGCTGCGAGTACGCCGGAAATTTACATTCCTAAGCGTGACTAATTTACATTCCACAAACGTGACTAATTTACATTCCACAAGCTTGACTAATTAAGCGTGACCGACACGTACGTACGTACGTACGCATATCGCAACCCTGAGTAGTAGCCTCGCGCTAATGCGCTCGGCAATGAAGTCCTATGAATCACATGCCATCCTGACCAACCTATAGCTTCTTAGGTTACATGAGGTAGGCACTGTCAAGTTCGTATATTATAGCTAACAGCCCTGGATTCCAAATGATGTCGCCATCACCATGCATGTATAATGTCACTTCTATATATTACATCTCACATCACTACACTGATCATCATTGTCCTCCCCAAATCAATAATTGCTTGATAACCAGCAGAAATCGTTCAGGATGAAAACCGAGTATTGTAGCTAGCTAGCTATACAGGGCATCTTATGCCTTACAGTTATGAGGTGAACACTAAGCGGTATATAGCTAGAAAGGAGTTGAGAATTGTTTTTTGGACCATCCGCTTCGGTCACTTCCGAGTATTATGCAGGTCAGTGCGAGCCAACCCATAATTATAGCTACAACGACGCATCGAATTTTCCGAACTACAACAAACCTGGTCCTCGGGCAGGCCAGGTACACCGGAGAGATACTGGATATAACCTTCAAACATTCTGATCTTCAGTCTGAAATCACGATTGCGCGTATAAGGCCACTCCAAGTTGCATTCCGGTTTCTGGTCAGAGCCTTTGCAAGTCAAGATGCGGGCGGGCGGGTTTACTCATTATCACTTAATAATATGACCACAAAAATTCATAATGGGAAGGCAGACAAACGAGACAAGTGCAAATCGTTAGTACAACACTGCGCAGTAAATAATGACCAAAACTGCGTTCTCTCGAAATGGGGTGCGGGCGGCGGACCAGAAACCGGTTACGTACGTACAACTTGGAGTGGCCTAATAATTATACGCGCATAAAACGTGGGCGTGGCTATAGCGCATGCGCAGGCCGTGTCGTGGACTGGTAATATCCAAAAGGGCAGGCAGTGAGCATACAAAAAAATCACTGCAGTAGGCAATGTAGTTGTACAAGCACAGAGTATTTTTTATTATATGTCTCAAGAAGGGAGCGCCAAGAACAACTTTTTTCCATTGTTCAAAGGTTCCACTGTATTACTGGGGCACTGCCACCAGACTCAATACTCATGAAACTAGTACTGTCACATTAAAAAGGTGAGGTAGCTAAATGGACACTACTCATGCATCAGTCTTGTTTGTTGTGTTTTGTGTTGGAGTCTGAAGAGGGACCAGATTTGACATCTCCATTCACGTCATGTGAGTCCTTGTGTCTCTGAGACTGTCTGGATGGTACCAACAGCAGTACCAGTAGAGCAGCCACAGTCGGAACAAAGTAGTAGTGACTGTAAAGATAGAACCAAGTGGACAGAAAGAAGGAATAGAAGTCAAAAAAACCCTAGAGAGTGGGAAACTATGATAGTAGCTATTAAGTTGTATGTTCAAAGATAATGAAAAGCACTTGAAAGTGCATAACCCTCGCCACTGTTAATTATGGAGGTTGAACTTTACTTCAGCCATTTATCTACAAAGATACATTTATATAGCCATAGCTAACATCCTATCTCTCATTTTGTGAACATTATCCTTTATTCCAATCATCCTTGTCCACATTATTCTGGACATGCGTTTTCAATACTAGTTACTACTACAGCAAAGTGAAAAGCACTTGACAGTATATACATAACCCTCAGTCACCACTTTATTCTTTATTTCAGCAGCCAATGGCTACTAGCTACTCTCAGTAACTCCTTCACTGAACAGATTCGCTTCCTGGCTCTCACTTCACTGGAAATCTCGCTCCTACTCAACTGTCTTTTATCTCTATTTGACGCACACTCACCTCGGCAGCCCTCCGTTTCGCCCGCTTCCCCGGCCTTCTCCGCTCCAGAATCTTATTTTACCGTGCATTCCTCCTATTTGATAATATGTCCACGTTTCACGCTCAGAGTTGCCGCGGTTACCGAGAAAAACGGTGACAGACGGACGGACGGACACACGGACACACACACACACACACACACACACACACACACACACACACACACACACACACACACACACACACACAGACCGACCGACTGCAATAACCCTCCGCTGCGCATGCGCGCGGCGAGGATTAATAACAGAGGGCCGGGAGCAGTGAGCATGTAGTTTCTCAAACAGGGTCAGTCACTAGCCACAGCATTTTTGCCATTTGATTTCCCCTCCAATGAACTCTCATGCAGAAATGAATGTCAAAGTGGAGCATTAATAAGGGATGTGAGGCGTGTGGCAGCCAGGACTCACCTCCAGAAGGTCCAGACAGCAGGGAACCACACCAGACTAACAGCTAAAGAACCGTAGGTCACATACACCTGAGTGAGGACCCATGTAGCTATGTGGTAGGTCCACTTCAACACTGGACCACGACTGGTAAAGAATGGGTTACACCACCTCCTCATCTGGGAGAGAGAATGGGGGGAAACTTTAGTTTGGTTACTTTGGTTTGTGGCCATGAATGTCTAAGCTTTTGCTATTAGAACGAAAAGTAAACACCATTCTTATAGTTGTATTCAGCTAAGCAACTGAGTTAAATTGCACATTCAACAATTCCTTACCTGAAGAAAGATTTAATTAAGAGCCTATTGTATTATAGACAATGCCCATATACACAGCTATAGCTACCTTCCTTGATGCCATTAAAGTGAGGCCAGCAGTGAAAAAACCGAGATAGAATCCAGGATAGAAGCCGTGCCACCAGGCAGAAAACAAGAAACTGGCCAGAGTTGGACTCCATGACACTCTCTCATAAACCACTCTAAGATGGCAAGCAAATGAAACATAAACAGGACAAAGTAGACACACAAGGAAAGACAAAATAATGTCTCAATGAAAAACTGCATTACACCTTTCAAGAAAGCGAACACTTAGATTTGAGAATAACACACAGACCTTCTTATCCACCGTGAGCTAGTAATATTCCACGAGTTGAGAGAGTTTCTGGCATTCATAGAGAGCTCTATACTCAGTATATCAATATTGGACGTCAGCCCCCACTTGGGTCTGTTTTGTTCGTCGTAACCTTCGAACCCCAGCCCAGCTGCATTGCTGATGCTGTCGTTGAGAAGGAAAACAAAGTAGAACCGACAACGGACAACAAAGCACACCAGTGAGAAATACAACAGTTTCAGGATTATGTTCATGGACGAATCTGTGATGGGGGAAGCAGGTATTTCACATACACTGTATAATGGATGTAATCATACAGTACCTATAGGTAAGGGTGAGTTGTAGTCTATCAATAAGTAATAGATGGCACAGAAGAACACTGACACCAGAAACTTGGACAACACTGGATACTGCAAAATGGACCAGCAAGTAACCTTTAAACTAAACGTGAAAAAATATGAACTCTATTACACTAGCCGAAAATGCTTTCACACCAATATTTTGGCTGAAAAATTGTCTTACCAAAGTAGAAGGTTCTCTGTGAGATTTAGTGGACTGGAAACAGAGACAACAATAGATTATGATCAAATGAGGAAGAGAAAGACAAAGATACAAAGGAAGTAATACACCCACCAGCAAACTGTCACAAACACCATTCTCGAAACCCATATCATGATGTATGGGGAATGTGGCCGGAAATTTCCTAAATGTGCAGGAATTTGCAGCAAAGAAAGATATTTCCGGCACAACTTGCTCATGTGCAGGAAGAATATGAGGAAGCTTCCTGCAGTCAAAATATGGGGATTTTGACACTTCCTACACTTTTTCATTTCGATCTGAAATTCTTCCTACTCTTTTCGCAATTCTTCTTCCTGCACATATCTGAATGTGCAGGAAGCATGCTTCCAGCACTTTGCATGTGCAGGAAGATTTTCAGTAAAGTGACATGGGTTTCAGTTTATACCCTCACTAGAAATGAAAAAAAGTTTTCTCATTGAGAGAGAGTTACACACAGCTAGATGGTAATAATATTTCCACGTAATAAGCTGAAACACTAGCACTAAAACCATCACCCACTGATGACTGTTGGCTACTGGTAGTAGAGACTGCACGGAAGTTGGAGCCATCCATGAAGTCCAGATGTTCCCTCATAGTGACTGAGGGTCCAGCTAGTACACTGTGGAAGTTGAAACAGTAGCTCATGTACTCCAGGACTGACGGCACAGAGCTGTGGAGGAGGAGACTGAGAGTTGCAGCAGAGATTATCAGGTCATCCTCACGTCAGTTTCTGCTTCTCCTGGTCTTTATTCAGAGCTTTACTATTGCCTCCCATTCCTACATAACAAAAGATAGGGTAACAATGTGATCGATAATCATGGCTATTTACCATCATGCATACTATAGCCTACGTAACTGATCTTCTGAACCAATACCGTCATTGGCCTGAGATGAAAATAATAGTAATTCACTGCGAACGGTGGATAATACATAATAATTACCAAGATATATTATCCAGACGCAATCCGCTATAGTCATTCAGAATGGAATGAAGATTTCCAGCACTCATGAACACCATTATCCATCCCATGCTCCACCTGTACACAGAGAATAACATGATGTGCCCTGTACACAGCAAAATGTATCCACACACAAACTTTCACCCTTCAGGCTACTTCATCAAAAGTGACCCTAGAACATTTGAGTGGTCTGCACATGTGTGTGCTCGGCCATTTTTAAGCTGTATTATTTTGTCAACAAGAAAAAAATTGAATGCAGGTATTGACTGAGTTTTAAGCTACTTCACATGAAATTTGATCCTAGCCATCACAAACATTAGCCAAACCAAAATATTGCCACATAATTATACCACAACTGGGGTATCAATTTCACTTGGCCCTTGGTCCCGAAATGAGGGCTATGTCTTGGACAGAGCTAATTGTGTCTTCAGCCAGCATAATGTGGAAACCCTTACCTGTGGACAGTCTGTGGTGGTGCCACAAGAAGGATGATATAGCCAACTGCCACACCTCCCACCAGAACTAACACTTGCCTGCGTAGAGAAGGAAATATCTCTGAGGGTGATGTTTGCAGTAAGCTCCCGCTGGATTAAGGAGGTATTAAGGTAAACTGAGGTTAGATTGAAGTGCGAGAGTTCTTTTAGTGCTGTTATGTGATCTTCGGCCAATCAAAAAATATTTGCTCAGATACTGTGTGAGCAGTTATGTATTATGAACCTTGCCATCCTCGTACACAAACACTAAGCAGTGTAATGATTATATAATAGTGGCAGGTACTGACCAGCCATAGCAGAGGGTGGCGATGGTGAGACCAGAGAGAGAGGAGAAGAGATGTCTGACATGGAGAGAGGTCCAGGAGGGGTGGAGGATGTGACGTAGAACCAGTGCCAGGGGATACCCCATCAACAACAGGGATATGAATCTGACCTGCGATGCAGGATAGAGGAGACACAGTTTTAAATCCCCCCATTAGCACCCTTCAAAGCATACATTGGATCTTCCATTAAAAGACCCAAAAAACTCAATAAAGGACACACTTTGAGGTCCAAGCAATATTGTTAAATTTCTATTATTCTAGACCATTTTTTTACCTCCAATGAGAGGACAACCCTCCCAACGTGTCCTTTATTCTGAGGTTCGACTGTACTTGGGAAAGCTTTTTCTATGCCTCTTGCAGACCAGGATATTACAATTTCCAGGACCAGTAATACTGTATATATATTATAAGTTGACAAGCCTGAATGTACAGGAATGTGGTTAGTATTTTGACTGCAGTCATCGCATGCCAACCCTGACCAGCCTGTTAGCTATAATTATATATACCCTTTTTAAAAGCTTCCTCATTTGTTGGTGTAGGGTTACCATATTAAAAGGAAGGAATGTAGGGCTTACCTAAGAGGGTATCTGCTTTTGAGGTACATAAATTATACAAGAGCACAAAACGATAATAGCTAAAGGAGTTGAGAATAATGTTTTTGGGACCAGTTCTGGTCACTCCCGACGTACATAGCTATACGCTTGTCAGTGCGAACCCGCAATTATAGCACTCCTATAATAGTTCAATCCAACAAACCTGGTCATCAGGCAGGTCAAGTACCCCGGAGAGGTACTGGATAAACGCTTCAAACATTTTGATCTTCGTTCGAGAGCGAAAACTGGCAAGGTTGCGTGGCCCAACCCATCAATATGCGTATTAGGCCACTCCAAGTTGCATTCCGGTTTCTGGTCGGGGCCTTGTCAAGATGGGAGCGGGGCGGGTTTTACTCATTAGTCCACTTAGTAAGTAATAATGACCACAAACATTCATAGTGGGAAGACTGTCAAAACGAGACAAGCTCAAAGCCATGCGCAAGAAGTTACAACGAAGGGCCGGGCGTGTATCGACTCGCACATGCTATCTACTACTATCACTAGCCCGTGTCAGACTCTCCTAGCAGGTATACTTAGACCAGCCCATCAATTAGCGGTATCGCGCATGCGCAGTTCGCCGATGGTCAGTTCAATATACCGCGGAGTCGCAATTCCGCATGCATGCGTACTATAACGTAAAAACTTGGGCGTGGCTCCAAAATCCACACCGTGTGCGTTGCAAGCACAGCAGGTCGTGTCGTCCCAACAGGGCAGAAGGTAGCACAAACTCTCTGCTGTAGGCCAGTGTGTAGTTTTGAAATCTAAACACCTAAAAGCACTGCATATCTTTCATTCATACTCATGTCTGAAGAAGAGAATGGACAACAAAGAACAGTAGCTAGTTGTTCAAAGGTACTTGGGCATTGCCACCATACTCAATTACTACTGTCAGATGAATGAGCTTAATGGACATGGACACTACCCATGCATCAGTCTTGTTTGGAGTGTTTTGTGTTGGAGTCTGAAGAGGGACAAGATTTGACATCTCCATTCACGTCATGTGAGTCCTTGTGTCTCTGAGACTGTCTGGATGGTACCAACAGCAGTACCAGTAGAGGAGCCAAACTCGGAACAAAGTAGTGGTAACTAAAAAGTGAGGGATTGCGAAGAGGAGAGGTGGGTAAAGTGTGAGAACAACAAAGTGATTGTTATCTTTCCTCATCCCTTTAAGCTATATATGAGTATACCTACAATAGTGCAACGTTTTGAAAAACGGCAGATTCGGAAGTTTCACATAAACAGTTTTACCCATAACACTGAATGAAGGCTCATTCTCACACCATATTGTGCGGTCAAGCATTATCACTACCAACACTAGCCTCGTTCCCAGGCCGTCAGCGTGAAAGAGAAGGGCTGGTAGACACTGTTTGTGCATGCACCGAATATTCCCAAAATTCGGGGAATTTCGTTAGGATTTCTCAGAGTCCTTGACGTCATCATCTGTATACTTTCGAATACTTCCCGCCACATGGTTAGTTGCACCGCTCGAGAGGCAGAGGAGAGGCGGCAGTACGGCGCTACCTGAAATGCGCAGATCTCACGTTTATCAACGACTCGCCCTTTAACAACCCTGCCGACTGGGTCAGTGGTGAAAATTTGCCAGCAGGACTGAATTGTCGTGTGCCAACATTTTTCTGTGACGTGAATTCGGCGCATGCGCAAACAGTGTGTACCAGGCCTTCTGTCTGGGAACGAGGCTACATATATCCACACAGACACTCTGGTTGCTAACCTGCAGAAGGTCCATACATCAGAGGGCCACAAGAGCACCAGCTGGAGGCTACAGTAGGCCACATACACCTGAGTGAGGACCCACGTAGCTATGTGGTAGGTCCACTTCAACACAGGACCATGACCGGTGAAGAATGGGTTACACCACCTCCTCATCTGGGAGAGGCGGACAAGAATGGGGGGTAGTGGGAGAGGGTGTTTATGTTTCCATGGGGGTTAGTGCAGTGTTTGAGCTCTTTATTGAACCTTCCGCAGTGTGCTAGACACATACTAGATATTCATGTATACAGCAACGAGCGATAACAGACAGACAGGTGGACAAAGTACTGTAACCCTAGCTGTGCATGCATGCATGCATAAAGAGTGGTCGTTTTATGGCAATATTATACTGTAGCTCACACACAAAACACCATCATAGCATGAAGTACAAACAGTACTACCACTAGCAGGATTTCTTCCCTCTCGGAATCCCAATGGTTTGACATAATTTCTGAGAAGTGAGTAGTGAGTAGTGGGGTTCCTTACCTTCTTGGCTGCCATCAGAGAGATTCCAAAGTGGAGGAAACAGAGGTAGTACCCGGGATAGAAGCCGTGCCACCAGGCAGACAGCAAGAAGCTGGCCAGAGTTGGATTCCATGACACTCTCTCATAGCACACCCTGTGGTGGAACACGACTCAGAGATTACTCCATTGAAAGACGTCTTTACATCCCATCAGCACACATTATAAAACATTTTTGTATATCTGACAATAAAGGCATTGTTGGCATAGTTTAAACTCTAAACAGATGGAATTTCGCAATTGTGTATATATGCAGCATGCGTGTAACTCTCATGGTTTATTCACCAACAATGTGTTCATATATGTAGTATGTACAGTACAGGGATAAACTTTCAATTCTAGGTCACAAAACGAGCCCTAAATATGTTTATCTTATGTGCATTACTAATGCACATAAGAAATTTTAAATTAGCCGGGGTTACTTGAATATTTCTCCAACAAAAAATATCCCACTATATGGTACATACAACACATACAGACCTTCTCAGCCAGAGGGCAGAAATGATGTTCCAGCGGTTGATGCTGTTCCTCAGGTTCATCGACGACTCCATACCAACGGTGTCGTAATTCTGGGCCAGCCCCCACTTCGGTCTGTTCCGTTCGTCGTAACCTTCGAACCCCAGCCCAGCCGCATTGCTGACGCTGTCGTTGAGAGCGAATATGAAATAGAACCGACAGCGGATGATAAAGCACACCAGGGAGAAACGCAGCACCTTCACAAACACATTCACGGAGGGATCTATACAAAAGTGAGAGCATAAATACGGAGATTAACGCCCATTTAGAAGTGTTAGCAATTACATATCATACCTATGGGGAAGGGTGTGTGGTAGTCAACAGAATAGACATAGAGGGCACAGAACCCCAGAGCTATCAAGAGCTTGGTACATGCTGGATACTGATGGAGCAGATACAAAGAGAATGTGCATATCACACTCACACATTGAAGGAGAGGTATATGAGAGCAAAATGGAGGAATATTATAATAATTGTACAATGAAAAGCACTAAAGTGCAACCCTCGGCGAACTGCCATGCGCTCGCGGTACCCACTACTTGATGGGCTGGGCTTTTCTTTTCTTTACATCGTTGTATTCGCGCTAGTAGCGTCGCGAGAGTCTGGCACGGGCTAGCTACAGTAGTAGATTGCATGCGGGAGTCGATACATGCCCTTCGTTGTGACTTCTTGTGCCTTCAAGATACACAGAGCGCGCGGACGCAGTCGAGTAAGCTGTGCTAATTACCATATTGGCTTGTTCACATTGGTTTTCCACGCCATAACTTTAGAACGCAGTAGTTTTACTTAACGAAATCCGCCTTTTTTAAAATCAACCCAGTTAGCACTGAACCCGATCATATCGCTATTTACCTGATTTCGTGTGCGCGGTGGCAGAAAACGTGGTAACAGACAGAATGACAGACTGACACACTTACGAAACAACTACCGTAACCCTCGCATGCGCATGCGCGCCGAGGGTTAATAATGTAACTTTGTGGAAGTTGACTAAGCAGTATAAGGCCTATAGGCTGGTCTGTACCTCACCAGGTAAGATGGCTCTTTATGTTTTCTCTGTAGATCTGTGACTATAGGTATAAAGAGAGAAAGCAGTGAGAGAGATTAATGCCACCAAGATGTCAGTAAAGTGTACAGCTTTGTATGTCAAAGTGGCTGCACACTAACTGTATTCACGTGTGGTCATCATCAAAAGTGGTCTACAACAATATCATGCTTCACACAATCCCCAAGTCACACACCCCCACACCACAATACAGTCACTCACTGTGTTGGGTTGTCGTCTGTTGGCTACTGGTAGTAGAGGCTGACACAACGGAAGTTGGAGCTCATCCATGAAGTCCAGATGTGTCCCTCATAGTGACTGAGGGTCCAACTAGTACACTGTGGAAGTTGAAAACAGTAGCTCATGTACTCCAGGACTGACGGCACAGAGCTGTGGAGGAGGAGGACTAAGAGTTGCAGGCAGAGATTATCAGGTCATCCTCACGTCAGTTTCTGCTTCTCCTGGTCTTTATTCGGAGGCCCTACTATTGCTCCCATTCCTGAAACACAGGATGTGATAGTTGGTGAGCACACACAGGTAATGCAAGCAACAGAGAGCTCACCATCATGAACAGCAAATGGAACAAGACTCATGTTTCGCACCAGTATCATCATGGGCCTACAAAGAACATTAAATCCACTGCAGACCGTGTGTACATGTATAACAGCTCTCTTCTTTTCCTTGAAAGAAAAGAGTTGTCCTGGGTGTAGTTGACTTGTTTGCTTTGGCCTTGCCTTTCTACCTCTCTACGTCACTACTTTCGTTGTAGACACATACATACGGTGGTATACTGCAAGGCGCCCTTGTTTGCATGCAGAGTACGGACCACTAACCAAGGTCAATGAGTAGGTCGAGAGTTGTGACGGCAGCGATAATGTGCTAGAGTGGCCTAGACCACTCGGTACTTAGGCAGACAGCTCAGAGGATAGCACAGACCGGCCTCGCTCTGCTTGGGGTGTGATCAGTAACTGGGGGGCTGGGCAGGAGTCCTTAGACACACCCCCTGCCCGCATAATTAACCCCAGTTCTTTGGCCAACATCCTCAACGTGTATACGCTCATAGACACGCAGCAATACAACGATAAATTGCACACAATATGCACGGCATGATTGTACCCCAGATGATGTTAGGGATCGATACTGTAGTGGAGTTACCATAGTTCTATGGTCAAGGTGAGTCATTACCCCGTGATATCCAAATGCCATCCTCCGTAGTCAGTGAGGGTGCGGTAGAGATGACCGGAGCGCATGAACACAAACACCCATCCCATACTCACCTGTACACGTGCAAACTACAGTCTGAGGACACCATGAATGAGTGTCGGTCACATACACCACATATCTAACACATGGCAATACAATATTTTGAGTTGCTGCAAAACCTAAACCAACTGGGGACACCAAATTGTAAATGCTTTTTCATTGTAGCGGTTTTTAAAAGTTAGAGTGGTCATAATTGTTTATAGCTGCTCCTAATTTGGTGTGGAAACCTTTCTGTCATATGTGCATGTGTTAATAGGAGCTCTAACCTCTGGACCACGTTTGAAGGTGCAGCTAATAGAATGATGTAACCAACTGCTACACCAGCTACCAGGACCATCACCTGCCTGGAGAGAAAAAAGAAGAGTGTGTGTGTGTGTGCGTGTGTGTGTGTGTGTTTGCATGGGGGAAGAGAAGTCCGTGGTCACATGCATTGGCTTTTGAATGGCTGTAGTCCCACCACCCATCCCCACACCCAACAACTAGAGAGCCCTGTCTGCTCTGTCTTGTTTTGTCTGTCATTACCTTTGGCGCGCATGCGCAGCGAGGGTTACTGTAGTTGGGTTTGTCTGTGTGTCTGTTACTCAACATCTCACTTCTCGAATGTTTGTTCGTCTCACAGACGATACGACCTACTTAACGGGCAATGAAGGTCAGAAATTCCGAACGGTTTTCTCTGAAACAGCTCCGTTGCAAAGCTAGAGCGCGAAAAAGCCAATATGCAAATACACAACGGTTTACCACGGTCTGATAGATCTGCATGCTCTGAGGTACCAGAAGATGCAACGCAGGGCGTGTATCGCCTCTCGAATGCTATCTAGTAGTGTAGTTAGCCCGCGTCAGACTCTGCACGAGCTGGCAAGAGACCACAAATAACAGCTAAAACTAAACCCAGCCCATCAATTAGTGGTACGGTGCATGCGTTTACTTACGCGTGTGCATGCGCCGAGGGTTTGCACTTCAGTGCTTTTCATTAACCTAATGCACCAGTCATCAGGGGAGGTTTACCTACATCCTTACTGCCTTGTTGTGACAAGATTAGACAAGATGCCTGGGGTCTTCTTCCAACCACAGAGTGGAGTAGAGGTTACCCAACAATTGAGTGGGCAGTTGGGCATGCTGGTGGTTTTTTTACTACTACTATAGGGATGGCACTCTGAATGTGTGCGTGCTGTGCATGCAGGTGTGCAGAGCAATGGTAGTACTCAGAACACTACTTGGTTGGACCAGTTTTGATTTATGCTTTTCGGTTGCACACTAGTGACTAATGCCATAATGGATTTGACAGTGTTACGTACACACTAGAAACATGCAAAGTACAAGAACGTGTATGTGGTGTATGTGTGCTAAACACGATGAATGAGTGTTTAATACATGAAGCAGATTTCACAGCTGCCGCCGCACAGAGCCACTGGACCACATTGTTGTACTCACCAGTCATAGCAGAGGGCGGCGAGGGTGAGACCAGAGAGAGAGGAGAAGAGATGTCTGACATGGAGAGAGGTCCAGGAGGGGTGGAGGATGTGACGCAGCACCAGCGCCAGGGGATACCCCATAAACAAGAGTACAACACATCGTACCTAGAATCGACGGACAAGCAGAAAAGGACCGATCGTAACGCTGCTGCTTCCTATCAACTAACCTGGTCATCAGGTGTGTCAAGCACACCAGAGATGTACTGGATCAAAGCTTCAAACATTTTTTGTCTATTAGTCCCAGCCCAGTCCCCTCTCGCGATCGCCGGGCCACGCGCGCGCTTTGCGGGCTATTATGCGCATAGTTAATAAGCTTTCCTGCCCCAGTGCGCGCGCGCGCGCGTGACACCAGTAACACACCCACAACCACCAATCCACCATAGCCGAGCTATACAGCTAGCTATATACCTCGGGCTTGTCTGGATTGGTAGGATTGACAGTTTGCACATGCCAGTGGCAAAGCTTTGTAGGGATGAATCTTATCTTAGAACCATGTCACGTGTCCCAGTGCTCGGGAAATCCCTAGAGTAGCGTCGCCCCTAGGGAAGCAGAATATAGTATGTTGCAGTTCCTGCTTTTGAGAAGAGAATGGATTCCTCAAGATCTTTTCGGTGAGTGGTTAATAATTCCACACTTTTGTAGGCAACAAATCTCTAATGGTGCCTGGAGATGAATAACTGAGAGCAAACAAGCTTGCCCAAAACCAGAGGTGGTGCAATATGACCTATCTCCAATCACAAATGTATGGGATCCTCCAGCATGGCTGTTTCAACGAACAGTGCTTCATTAGCAATGTAACATGCTTTTTTTACTCACTAGCACAGCTAAATTCTGCCAAAGTTCTGCAAAAGGCATTAGCTGTCAACTTGAGCATGACCACCATGCTACATACAATCAGTCTTAGAGTGCAATGATTCTGCTCCACTGATTTAGGCAAAACACCAATCTCACACTGCCATACCATTTGGGCACAAACCGCTTTCCTCTTTTTTTTCTTCCGCGTCACTTGCTTGTTATCTCTTATGCGATATTTAAGGTTTCCCTTTGCTCACAAATCATACATTAGAAATCGGTGGTAAAATGAGAGACAAAAACAGTCAATATAACATAGTGTCTGGCTCATAGATGGGTTGGGGGTGGAGGAGCTGTGAAAGAATGAAAGGGAATACAAATATTAGGGAGTTGTCTACAAAGCACCAGAGTAACATATGAAGGATTAAAGGAGCTACAGCAAACAACAGTTTGATATCAGTGGGATCATGTGGGTGCCACATGATCCCACTGACTGACAGTTAGCTACCAGCCTTGACTGCTGCAGAATTAAGGAATTTTGGGTTTATGTTGCTTGATGAGTGGAAAGCATAGTTACACAGAGTGGCAAAATATCAGATTTCTTTAATGGTGATTTTTTAACTATTAGTAATACACATCAACACATCAGCTAGCATGCAACTAACACAATATCTAGTTACCAAATTGAGACTGGTAGAGTGGTAGAGTTGGAGGCACTGTGTGAGAGAGTGATAGAAAAATCCATGTCTTATGAATAGATATTAAGCATAAGTAGTGTACTGTGCTATAGCACAGTGGTTTAAGGTTTGCCTTGTGTTGTATTGTGTTGTAGATTCGAACCCCTACCAGCTGGTAGCTCAGTTGGTTGAGCGCTCGCCTAGACTACACAGTGTTGTGGGTTTGAATCCCTCTTGGGCAGCTCTTCTATTTTCCTTGGGGGAAAAAAGAGCTGTCCTGGGTGTAGTTGTATGTTGTACCTTTGCCTTTCTACCTCCACATGTAAGGTGTATCAAGAAGCTATATAGGCCTTTATGTGCTTTCAGTTAAGAGAATAATATAACTGGAGTTCGTATAACATGCGTCCCACTGTACTGATTCACTGCAGTACATTACATCTGCAGTGGAATGGACCTTAAAGGAAGCGAACTCTCTCTCTGCATTAGAAACCTCCATAAAGTGGACACCTCTTGCCTCTAAGTTCAGGACAACAGACACCAACTTTACCGAGATCCCACACTCATGTTGCATGTCCTAAAGACATCATATCCCAACCTCTCTTCTAGCATACGAGGCCCTAATCTACCATTGTCTACGGGCGTGACTACAGATGCTCATGGATATCTGGTTGTCGGTATCTAGGACCCATTAATAACCAGACCCCTTTCCCACGTGGGGCCTAGGCATGAGACTACGTGGGGGTAGGACATAATCACTTGTGACGATATTGTGCTGAGTCGGCAGTGTAAAACCCATTCATTTCTGCATAGAGAAACTCATTATTGCAACTGCTCAGGAACGGAGCAAACAGAGGTCCTTGGAGGACTGCGTAAAATGAAGCGCACATCCCTAACAAAGAATATGCTCTGCGCATCCTGTGAAACCTTGTCCTACCCAGCATAATCATTCCAAAATGTCCTGTCATTCGACCCTAGCACAGTACACAAAACCTCCCAATGGTGTAGCTATGTATTAACTGACTTGTGTGTATTGCGGCAATCTTTTGGGCAAGGGCATGGTTATTTCCCCCATTGGGGTGGGCCACTGCCCACACCAACATCTTCCATGAAGGGACTCCGAAATGCTCTGTTTTATGAGATTGGTTCAGCCACTCTTTCACCATCTCTGACAGACAGCGCTTGCAGACATGTCGATTATCAGCCCCGATCTCGTCTAGGACAGAAGGTGGCAGTCCTAGAGCTTCTCCCACTGACTTCCACTTGTCGGCCACATCATTCAGTTGCGACACCACATTAAAATGGTCATTAATGCCTGCAGAGAGAACAATGCCACATAAAATATCTGCAAGAAAATCCTAATAGGTCGGCCATCTAGTTAAAAGATGAAGAGAAATAAGCTACACAGAGTAGTAAACAGAATAAAATTTCAGGTAAAAGTGTGTGCGCAGGGTCAAGCATTAGCCTAACTGCATAACCCTACCTAATATGCCTCCATTCGACTCAGATCTGGGTAGAGGCAGAGATTGGGAAACTGCTGACTGCTCTGTGCCTGATGTGTGTTGTTGCAGAGCTCCCCTACCATATGACAAGGTCATGAGTGGCTGGCCAGGGGTCGGTTGGTTACTAAAAACTGGCGACGGTTCCTGACCTGCAGGGGAGAAGGTACTCACTTTCAGCCTCTGCTGTTTAATGTTGTGATTATTATACTAGTGACTCCTAACAGGAAAGTTAGAACTAATGCAGCCTGCATTGTTAGATAGAGGGATAGGGAGAATAACAAGCATGTTTCTCACAGGTATGCATGAAAGCATGCAGTAGCTTATAGCTTAGTTGTTACATCCACAATACCAAGGCATAATTCTAATGCTTCTAATTTTGACCAAGTAATTTGCAGTAACTTGGTGGGTGTGTCTCAGTAGGGAAAAAGGAAACATGCGCAAAGAATGCCACGGTATAATGTGCTACATTACCAGCACACCAGGTTCATTTAGCCAAAGAGTCTGGTCAGGAGTGACTTTGTCATAGACTTTGCGGTTTACTGAGCATATCCACAGCTTTCCATCAGGGGAGAGGTTGGCTACATGTAATTTCGAGCTACATATTTTTTGTTTCGGGCAGAAAAAAGCAAAAGTTGGGTGAGTGTTTTCATGATGGGTGTTCAATAAGGCGGCTTTAACTGCTGCAAAGATCTCAAATTTTATTCCACGGCAGTGCTTAGCTAATTCTTCCCGTTTTATTTTACTTGTGCCAAGGTTGACACATGCAGTAAAAAATGAAAAGTGATCGATGAAGGTCACTGAACCAGGTCGACCAGCTTTGGTGAACTCGATGCTGTTGCGAGATACAGTGTTTTGCGCATAGCGTTTTGTATTAAATACTTCGTCGATTAGGTTCTTAAACCATAAAAACCAGGAGCTACCTTCATATAGTGGTTTTATTGGTGGTTTGCTTACTACCTCCCAGCCAGAGTGGGACTGAAGGTGGCATACACTGCAGCAGTAGACACCAGGAGGAGCCCAGCCAGTGGGGAACTTCACCACCAGAGCTGCTATCTTGGTCCTCTTGCATGATTCAAGGCATTCCTTGATTGTATCTTCACTGGTCATGTTTAAAATAGCAGGAAAGAAGTATTCGTCATTAGGCAGTTTAGAAATAACCATAAGTTTTTCAAGCAGGATGAGAAAATCCCTAGCTGTGAATATTCCCTCCACATAGTGTTCCTTGAACTCCTCGAGGAAATCCAGAGTGAGGATTCCATAATCTCTGAACTTTTGCCAATCTCCAGTCATTGCGTTGTCGGATGCTTTGGTTGGATCAGCCATGACAGCTCTCAGATGGTACTGCTCTTCTACGAGTTTTGATAGTTTGTCCAGTGGCACTCTAACATTGGTAAAGACGACTTCGGGAAGAATGGTCTTCTTGTAGAAGAATATGTTTAACTTGTCAAAGAAACTGAGGGCAGCATCAAGTTCCCCTTCAGTGAAACCTAGTGAGTCTGACACTTGAATAACCTCTTTCTTACTCAGGACCTCTCTCTTCAGCTTTAGAGATAGTGCCTCCATGATGAACTGGAAAATAAACCACCAAATTGGAATCGCATGCTGCCTGGCATCTTTCATGATACATTGTCTGAGTTTCCTTGCCTCTTTCTTGTCATTACTGTCAGGATTCTTGGTGTTAAGCTGGAACACAATTTCGTTCATGGCCTCATTGCAGTATACAACATTATCTTTGAAATAGGGTAATGCAATGGCAGCTAATTTTTTGTTCTTTACTTGAGGTGTTTCTTTGCAATGGGTAGCAACATCTTTGTGAGTGCCAACTACGATAATCTTCGATCGTTTGTCCCCATTGTTTAGACCTCGAAGCATTGTCTTGAAGGACTCAGCTGTGGTGAATGTGGCTCTCTGGCTGGGACCGACCCTCTTCCCTTTCTGGTAGAGGTCATTGAGAGGATGTTCATCAAGTTTCTCACACAACCGGTGGACAAAAAGGGTGGCTGAGGTGTCACGTGTGAATATTGGGACCAGATCCCAGTAGGCTTGCTGGCCTCCACAGTCAGTCAGATAGATCAGCTCTGTGTCCAGAAGACGACGAGACTTTTTACGAAATTTAATTAGTGCACTAAGATTTTGAATGACTTTGCTAATAGTTTCTTCTGCACTTAAGGGTCTTACCTTCTCTTTCTTATCACCAACACTTGCATCCTTTTTTTCTCCCTTAGTAATAGTTTCCTTTCTCTCCTTATATTCTACACCTCCTTGTTCTTCCCCCTTTTTATCATCCTTGCCAATTGCACCGTCTTTCTCCACTTTATATGTATTCTCAAGTGAATTCTCTCCTCCAACTACATTAATTGTGTCTTTTTCTTTTCTAGCAGTAGGTTTATGTTTTCCTTTCTCCCCATCCTTGTTTTTTACACCTTCGTGTTCTTCCTCTTCTGCTCTTTTAGCTCCGTCATCCTCCTCATCCTGTCTACCGACCACTTTGATCATCTCTTCTTCACTGACAGTGGGTTTAATGTTTGGTTTTCTTTCCTCTTGTTTTCTTTCCTTAACACCCCTTTCCTTGTTTTTCTTTCCCTCCAAATTATCCACAGTTACTCCTTTTCTCCCGTCATTAACCTTTTCTTCATCACTGCCAACTGTACTTACTTTGTTTTCTGTATAGGTAACTATGCCTTTATCGACAACTACACTTTTAACTTTAACAGTGGATTTATTGTTGACTCTTTCTTTACCAACACCAGCACTCTTGTTTCCCCTTTCATTCATACATTGATTTCCTTCCCCGGCTATTTCTTTTCTCCTCTGCTTCTCTCTTTTATTACCCTTACCCGCTGCACCTTCCTCGTACATAACTAATTCATCATCATTTTCTTGTTTAGTTGCAATGACACATTTTTCTTTAACTTCTGTTTCTAGTCCAGTTGCACCTCTTTCTTTCTCCTCATCCTCACCGACAACTTGGGACAGAACTTCATTCAAATCCTCCATTCCTTTTCCTTTGGCCTTTAGCTCCTCATAGAGAACTGGGACTGCCTCTGCAATCATTTCCTCAAATTCTTCTGTGGGGATTTCACTCCATTCCCCTGACTCTTTGCCGATGCGTATGACTCGGATTGATCTCTCAGCACAGCCAGTGCTAGTTCTTTGATCGGGTGGGTCTTTACTGAGCAGGAGGTAGAGAAGACAGGTTTTACCAACACCAGCAGGTCCCACCACCAGCACCTTCACCAGTGTTGTGACCACAAAACCCTGTTTCATTGCTTCTTTTATAAATTCATTTGACTCCTCTGTTGTACAGTGCTGTATAACATCTGCATGAAGTAATAACTCCGCCCACTCCTCAGGAGACATTTGTAGCCCTATTAACAAAATTCAGCAGGATAAGACAAGAAGATGATTTAACTTCAACCACCAACACTAATTCCCTGCCACTATTAATACAAAGAGGATCTCATAACTCCTGCAGTATGTCGAAAGCACGGACACAAACAGTGTATGCTCCTACGCAGATAATCGTAAATTTAAATTACAGCAGTTTTACACATAGTTAAAAGCCTAAACATTACCATTTCATGTGACAGTACCAACTAGGTAGGCTTGCTTCGCTTGCCAAACGGAGGAAAAATGAATTTTTGGTGAGTGGGAGCAACCCCTTGGTGTGTAGTGGAGGAAAACACAATAACAGACACACAACACAATAGCACTAAAAAAGAAACCTTCTGCAAACTAGAAACGCAGGCACTGCAGCACCCATGTGCACGCATGTGCAGATCTAATTGATGGGATGGGGCATGCACGAGTGGTTTTTCTCTAGCTTGCTTAAAGTCTGACAAAACTAGTTTTAGGCATTGTGGGACTCGATAGTCACCCTCCGCTGTTACATCCAGAGTCCATTACGTGTGTGGAATCTGGTTGAGGTAAATAAGAGTTCATGGCTTGTTCATTTGGTTCTCGCGTTATAACTTTAGAATGCACGAGAATCCCCAGTTTCAAACTCAGGCCAGTGTAGCCTTGAATTCGTTGATATTTCTTTATGGCAACTTGGTTGCACGCTGTAGCAGAAACAAACCAAGTACTTTTACCCTTGTTGCACATGCGTGCCGAGGGTTAGTGTATACATATAGGCTAAGGTTCAACATGTAAAACATTAGACTGATATTCTGCTGTAATAGCTATCAACATAACTAAAACATTGGTACATACCTTCTAGATGAAGTCTTAGTGTAGACCTTTTAGTGATGTCATAGTAACTGAGGGTCCACTTATTATCAAGTTTCTTACTACCAAAGAATAGTAATTGTTTACTAGTTGGTATTCCCAATTTGCTTTGAAGTTTAACCTTCACATCTTCAATTGTATCACTGGCCACTGTTTTCAATGGTATAATCCCACCATTGGCAGTCTTCACGAATATTAGCATACTTCTTTCACAGGGTTTTAAGGTCATTATCAGCACATCACTTTTTTGAACACCACATTCTTGGAGTGTTGTTTTATCATATAGTTTTCTACCATCGGAACGTGTCAGACATTGCATCTCTGCTGGAACCCCTTCTTTATCTTGAATTATGCCTTTAATAGCATGAAGAGTAGAGCTGGGTTCAACCAGCAAAGAGATAGTCTTGCCCAATAAGGTCTTCAAATATATACGCATAGTTCCTTTCTCACATAGAACTAAATGAAGACAATCGTCATTTTCAACATTACTGTCACTTATGGTCTGCCCAACTTCTAAAAGTTTGCCATTGAAAAATAGTTCATGGTGGTGTATATTACCCAGTCTCATCACATCATTAACTTTTGTCTTCACCACCTCAATTGTGTCAGTAAACTTCACTTCCACAGCTATGTCTTGTTGGCTGTTCACAAATCATCAAAAATACCAGCTTTTGAGGAGGGACAATTGAGAGTAGACACCATTGCAAATATTATAATAACTCAGGGTGTGTCTACTATTCAGTTGCTTTCCGGAAAAGAAGAGACGGTGGTTGTCTTGAAATGTTCCGCTTTTATTGAAAACTTTAGTCATCACTGTTTCTATTGTATCTTCCTCATTTACCATTAATGAAATGGTTTGGTCTGCTGGTATGTCCACAAATAACTGCATACCCACTTGTAAACCAAGAGTACTTTTATTATGAATGCCATAGTCACTCAGAGTTAATCTATCTTTCATGTGCCTATCTTGGAATGTAATTCTTTGTTGGTCTGGTGGTATACCCTCCCTTCTATGAAATTTAGCCTTAACACCCTTTGTAGTATCATTGGCTTCTACTGCCAGAAACACTGTCTTGTGACAAGTCTTCACACATACCAAAAACTCACCATCTCTAACAAGCACCAGATCAAGAAGAGACCCTGATAGAATGCCATAATGACTAATTGTCAACACGTTCTGCAGTTCCCTACCATCAAGTATAAGTCTTTGCTGGTCTAGTGGCAGTCCTTCTTGTTCCTCAAGTTCAGCCTTCACATTTTCAATAGTATTACTGGAAGCCACCTCCAACCTAATTGTTTTTCCTGTTGGATCCTTCAAGTGTATTGCAAACACATTTTCCAGATGAAGCAAGTCATTACTGTTTACATTACAGTCACTCAATGTCCAACTATCTTTGAGTATCTTACCACCATGAACAAGTTCTTGTGTAAACATTATATCCATCTTTTTCATTATTGCTTTAACCTCCTTAATAGTATAGCTATGCTTCACTTCCACAGTAATGGTTTCACCTTTCACAGTCTCTACAAATATCTGGAAACCTCCAAACAGACCCAGAGAGAGGTCAACAGTACTCCCACTGTGAAGACCACAATCCCTCACCCTCTTCTCATCTCTCAGCACTCTCCCACCTGACATTACCGTCACCTGGTTGGGCGGGATCCCTTCTCTCTCATAGATGACTGACTTCATGTCCCTCACTGTGTCCCCACCTCTCACTCCTAGTGCTAGCGTCTTCCCTGACAGAGTTCTGAGGAACACCTGGTACTGTGGTTGGCTCCTGAGGACCAGTCTACACTTGCTTGAGATGAGTGTGTGATAGTACCCCATTCTTCTCCTGTTCTCCAGGCAAACTCCTGATAGAGTCAGTTGTTGAAGGTCATGTGGTGTACCATCTATGGTCTCTATCATTTTCTTCACTCTCTTGACAGTAGTGGAGGAGTCTACTTTCAACTTGATGTACTTATTGCTCTTAAACTTTCTGATTTTCAAGTTATAGAAGTAAAGCCGTCGAATGACATATATCTCGGCCCCACTGTTGACTCCATAGTTGTCTAAGGCACCATTATCATCGATTGGCTTACCAGCATATATAAGTCGCTGCCTTTCTGGTGAAATCTTTGCCACTTTCTGAATTTTCTTCTTTACTTCACGGACTGATTCGTTAGCGGCTACTTCAAGAGGGAAGGCCTGGCCTGTCAGTGTCTTGACAGTGATAGGGACCACCACCAGCAGCCCCAGCTCTGAACCTTCTTGAATGCCACATTCCTTCAGCGACACCTGGTTCTCTAGTTGCTGGCCTTGGAAATACAGCTGCTGATGTTCTAGTGGAATACCCAGTTTAGCCTCCAGCACCGCCTTAAGAGCCTCGATCTTGTCTCTTTCCTCTGCCATGACTGTGACCACCTCACCTGAAGGTTGCCTCACACGTAGCCTTATCTCATCTGCTGGGCTAAGACTAAGGTACAGATGGAGGGTACTTGCCTTTACTACGTGGTAGTCTCGAAGCATCATTTCGTCCTCCATTTCACTTCCATTGTATACCAGGCTTTGGCGATAGACTGGGGGGCCGTCTTTGGCCTCTATTTTCAACTTTGTAGTTTTCACCGTGTCAAAACTGTCTACCATTAGTGTTAGGGTTTTACCTGATAGGGTCCGGACAAAAATTTGCATCATTGTGTTTGATACCTGCATATATAATATACAGCACAGGGAAAAATATATACACAATATTGTGACCATGATCAAGTCAAATGTAAGAAATCGTACGCTTGATCCATTTAGTATCATTTCAATATAATGGATGACCAATGGATTAAGGTGTAAAATCCAATGTGAAAGGCTGCCCAGCCACTCTACATGGAGGGTTAAATGTTGGGTGTAAGGGAAATGAGATATTAGCATAGTTAACCGAAGATAAATACCTGAGGCTACAAGCAATTACGCCATGGGAATGACAAATACACATGTGTGCCAAGTTTTTTTTAGCTCCATCCACATTATTGTCACCAAGTATGAGCAAATGCTACTTCAAATCTAGCACCACCATGCCTGATATCTGGACACACCGCTGTGAATGTGCTACCTTTTGTGGTAGAAAGTTCGCAGGTGTCAAGTAATCTCAAAACCTATAGAATGCTGTTTCAGGCAAAATTATTACTAAGCTGCTTTACATGCAAAAATAAATTTTTTAATCAATTCAGCAAACAGTTCTTAAATTTCTTGAGAAAAAAGGAGTTCCGTAAGAACGATTATCTAAATATTCTGTCAAATTGATCATATAATTAAGGAATTGATTCTAATTGCTTCGACTATCGCTGATGTTAGATGCTCATCTGATGGGTATGGTCTGTCACTTGGCAAGCACACAACACTATGTTGGGAAAGATGGGAAGGGGCCGAGGCAGACGGCTATGAGACGCAACTAACACGGATATAAAACAGATGGCACCGAAGCCTGTTCATATAAGTTCTGTGCTTTGTGCGGAGCCGTAGCAGCACTGGTATAAAGCTCATCATTAAGTTGGTCATCACGTTTCGAAAATCATTTACGAAATAAATTTACAATCGATTCCTAGGAAATCGTTTAGTGATCAAATTAAAACAGGAAAACACAGTAACTCCATAGTTGGCGTCCCAATGAAAAAGAAAGGCTCCACGTGGAAGCAGCATCTATCATGGCAACCAAGGATGGAAGTGGGACATCTCAAGCAGCATTGCCACCACTCCTCACTGCTGTGGGTCTAAAGGAGATGTTGCCAGACGGAGCCAATTCGCACAGGAATCCCCAACCGGGGAGAGATAAGTTGGTCAAGCATAGCCAAGGGATATATAGATATGTCCCCTTTCTCACTGAGAGGAAGCGTCGCAGCCCTGGGAGGGGGTGTTCAGGAGGAGATGCAGCCCATATGGCATGGAGGAACCAACTGGAAAGGAGGGATAGGGTAGACTGACACTTATTAAAAGTGCATAAGGGGGGGCAGGCCATTCCCAGGCAGTCACTGAAAGTGGGTGGCCAAGGCTGTGTGGCACTTATTGGAATTTCATGCTACTGATACCGAGGGCGGAGACCTCCATGCAACACCGGATAGAGCAGGGTCAGGAGGGGTATCAGAGCCCCGGAATAAGAGAAGGTAGACACTCCCACCTCCTAAGCTAGGGCCTTTCCCCAGTACTGGTTGCCAGGTTTTCAAAGGCAATTTTGTGGACATGGCTGAGCTCCTCCGCAACAACAATGAGGCACAGCAGAGAGGGGTACTACAAGACACAGAGAGTACAACAGGATCATCCAGTCAGCAAGCATCATGGCCTCGGCGTCTGACCTCCTGAGTGGGTGCAGTGCTTCAGCCTGTACACAGCAGTGGTGGCGAGCAACAACCTGGAGAAAGTGGTCCATCTGCTAGCCTACAAAAACCTCATTGTTCGCGAGGCCAGAAGGTGTGGAGGGTGGAGCTGACTAAGTTACAACCCCATTTTCCGGCAGCAGATGGTAGGGGAATGGCAGTGGCAGGGCAAAGGCAGGGACCGGCTAGATCCCTACATGTTCACCTCGGTCTTCATGGCACTAGGAGGCAAAAGGGCAAACTGCTCTATCTGCTTGGAGTCGGATCACAGGAAAGAAGACTGTGCGCTGGGTAGTGGAGACTCCTCACCAAGCCTCTCACTCATCAAGAGACCCCTATTCTCGGGAGGCGACCCCATGGCAATCCAAGACAAATTCACCGCGTTCCCTGGCCTGCTTTGTGTGGCACCAAAGCTAGTGCTTGTTACAGTTTTGTAAGTCCAAGCACCACTGTGTACGTTGCGAAGGGGACTGACCATCGCATAATCAGCTGTCAGTCATTGGGAGTGCAAGACAAAAGGCCATCCGAGATAAGGAGAGCAAATGACAGTACAGAAGAAAGAAGTTACACAATCCACTGACAAGGATGAATATTCATTTATCTGATCAAGAATAGTGACGCCATTTATCTTTAGGCTTTTACACGCTTCATTAGGGCAATGACATTCACTTGTTGAAGTAAACCTATCAGAACTAGTGAACTAGTGGGTGGTCCTGAGGTTGATCCCCTCGAGAGAGTGGGTCCAAGTACACTGCAGTAGTCATGGTCAGCCAGCCGTGCCGTTGACACAGCTGCAACATTCTGTTTCTGCTTGCCCGCTGGCAAAGCTTCAAGTGCCCCACATGCTCCCTCTCCCTCCTCGCATCGCATAATCAGCTGTCAGTCGTTTGGAGTGCAAGACAAGAGGTAGCCCCCAGACAAGTAGGCAGGAGAAATGCGGCCTATTGATTGCTGGGCAAGGAGAAAACAGCATACAAGACAAGTAGTGGTCATGTAATCCATTGATGTGTAGGGGCCACCCAGTTTGTGACCGAAGTTGGCGTGGAGGGGGGCTGGTACGAGAGAGGCCATAAGTGATGCTTGAATGGCTGTTGGTGGTCATGGAAGGATTTGATTGGCTGAAGGTCACACGACAGCAGTAATAGCGGTTTTAGGTGAAGTAAATAATGCACCTTTCTACCTTCTTCCGCTCCTCTCCATGATGAATACAATCTCGCTCGTAAACTATCAGCCACGGGACATTATTCGCCAGGACCATCGGTTATGATAGATCACCAATCCTATTCCTGTCAGCTGTGGCCAGCCACGGGTCCCTGAAACGCGAGAAGGCGAAGTTTTGATCTTCTCCCTTGGTCAACACATGTTTCGTTCCTCTTGTGGTAGTTGGGTATATTTAACATTGGACAACGACACACATACGGAGATCTACGACGCCGGGCTAATTTGCTTTCGTGTCCATACTGTCATTTTATAGAGCGCTGTTAATAATCCACAGATGCAATAACGTGTATTGTGTGCTACAGTCTACATGCACGAGCAGCTTTACAGGTTATACTGGGAAGCTCAGAGCTATAAGCTTCTATATAAAAGCAAACAATAATAGTGGCAGGTATGCAAGGAGAATGACAGGTCATCTCGCCCTAGGATACCATCCACATAGCTTCTGAGTGAGCTCTCAATGTCGCTGTCTGATGGAATAGAAGAGTTTGCCAAAGCTAAAGTGGAAGTGGACTGTTCTCGAGTGTCCGGGTTTGACAGCCAATGTCTCAGATAACAGGGAGGCTGACTGGAGGGTCATCTGCAAGCAGTTCGTTTTCTACACGATCATCATCGCCCTGTGAAAACAGCTCCTGACTTGCCAAGTTGCAGGGTCCATCACTCACAGCATTCTGTGCAATACCTCTAACTGGTTCGGACGAGCTGTCTTGGGTTGTCCCTGGGGGATTGGGTGCTAATTGACGACAGTAGTTGTGATCTTGGATGTCAGACGACAGCTTACTCCTCAATTCAGTATCACTGGCTGATGATGGTGGTGTGAGGTCCTGAGGTTGATCTCCCTCGAGAGATGTGGGGCCAAGTACATTGCAGTAGTCATGGTCAGCCAGCCGTGCCGTTGACACAGCTGCTACATTCTGTTTCTGCTTGGCCACTGCAAAGCTTCAAGTGCCCCACATGCTCCCTCTCCCTCCTCGCATCGCATAATCAGCTGTCAGTCGTTTGGAGACAAGAGGTCACCTCGAGACAAGTACAGCAAGAAGGCAGGAGAAATGCGGAACAAAGTTTAGTTAGCGCAGACTACCTCAGGCACCCGCTCTTCCTTAACCTTGGAGACTGATTGCTGAAGGTGCACAAAAACCGTGTCTATGTCATCCCCAAGCCACACTAATCCAGGAAATGGTGCCTACATATTTAGATTCAACCCTTCAGTTCATTAAAACCATGTGCATGTGACCAAATGGAAGGGTCTGATTGGCTGAAGGTCACATGACAGCACTACTAGCGGTTTTGGGTGGAAGTAATAATTATTAATGCATATTTCCATAGAAACAGCAGCCACATAGCGAATGACACACGGATTTGCCCTCCGTAATGGCTAACTTCCGGATATGGCCAAGTGGAAACTACAACAACACAGAAAAAGTAATAAGTGGACATTTTACTTACAACTTGAGATGGCAGAGTTATAACAATATTAGCTACGCAAGCTGCCACAGAGTCTTTAGACCCAAAATATTCTGCCACAACAAATAGGTTGGCTATTCCCTTTGTCTATCTTACTAGCATTTCTAGTCTTCACACACCTTCACTCCCACCTGTATATACCTAAATTGTAGCAAATGCACCGAAAAGGGTAGAATATTCATTTATCTGATCAAGAATAGTGACGCCATTTATCTTTAGGCTAAAGGGCAATGACATTCACTTGCTGAAGTAAACCTATCAGAACTAGTGACGCCACTTTTAGCCAGTTTGCAAAATGCGTAATGACATTTATACACCAAAGCTTAATTCATGAAGCACCCAATAATTACTACCATTGGGTTTAGCAAACTATGTGGTGTACATAGATGTCCTTGACTTTGCCTGGCTCTCTTGTTCTCATAAGATAGTTAGGCGACAATGACTGTACCAGTAGGCCACTTTTATATTTCTGCTAACTTGTCTTAACAAATATTCGGACTTACATACAGTGCTACGCTTTAGTGGAGCAGATAATTATGAGGTTGTATGCGAGTTCTACCGTACAACACACGACCGCGAAACCAAACGCACGCCCCTTTTCTGTAGCCAGATGCTAGAATCCGGCCAAAAAGCAAACAGCAATCAACCACAATTTCCCACAGTACAATCAAACGAGATTGGGGCTGTTTCTGTACGTTATGGTATTAGCTAGTCTCACTTTAGCTATGTCGTCAGGAAAGAAAGTTGTTCGTGCGTCCACGACTTGTCGGCTTGGGCTGCGTTGAATTAGCTCTATAGCTAAGTATACTCGTCAAAAGAAATTTCGGATTCTTCTGTCTTCGGAGTCTTTCGTCCGAGCTAGTCACCGTTCTCCGTGCGTCGGAGTGAGAAGTCTGCTGCGTCGCGTCACGCGGAAACGTCATCGCTACGCGGCGATGAATGCGCAAACCCTGCCCTTGCGCACCTACAGTAAAACGTGACGGAAGGGTATGAAGTGGTGATTTTAGCCGCTTCGGCTGTGTGTACGTACGTGTCTAAAAGGCTACGCCAGTTTTAAACTCGTCTCCCTTCCTGCAGTCTACAAAAGTACATTGATAGAGAGGACAACCTGTGAAATAGATGACATAATAGTGGCAGGTATATCTATATGCAAGGAGAAGAGAGAAAAATAAGAAATGGACTAGGAGTTTTCTGCACGCAACTTTTCAGAAACCTTGAAGAGACTACACATGAGCTGCTGGTGCAGTTTCCACAGAGTGGCCACTGGCAGGTCATCCCTTCCAAGGATACCATCCACGTAACTCCTCAGTGAGCTCTCAATGTCGCTGTCTGATGGAATAGAAGAGTTTGCCAAAGCTAAAGTGGAAGTTGACCGTTCTCGAGTGTCAGGAAACACAGTTTGGCAGCCAATATCTGAGAGAACAGGGAGGCTGACTGGAGGGTCATCTGCACAGCGGTTCGTTGTGGCTACACGATCATCATCGCCCTGTGAAAACAGCTCCTGACTTGCCAAGTTGCAGGTTTCATCACTCACAGCATTCTGTGTGATATCTCTAACTGGTTCGGACGTGAGGTCTTGGGTTACCCCTGGGGGATTGGGTGCTAATTGGCGACAGTAGTTGTGATCTTGGATGTCAGACGACAGCTTACTCCTAAATTCAGTATCACTGGCTGACGATGGAGGTGGTGGGAGGTCCTGAAGTTGATCTCCCTCCAAAGAAAGAAGACGCGGCTCAAGTACACTGCAGTAGTCAGGGTCAGCCAGCACGTGCTGCTGGCACAACTTCCACCCTCTCTCTCTGCTCGGCCCGCTGGAAAAACACAAGTGCACCACAGGCTCCCTCTCCTTCTCGCTGGCGGAGGAGAGAAATAAGAATGGTCGTGCTGTAAGCTAGTCGACTGCTGTGATTCTGCAGACGACAATGTCATGCTCCTGCACTAGCATCTGTTACCGTCTCACTCATTTCCACTTCTTCTCTCCGCACTCGCGCTGTGCGCACTGGAGACACTGTCTTGAACACTACTGCCATTCCTCTCGTGCAGCCCCATGTCATCAACGCTCCCACCGATATGGAGACTCAGACGGGCTGCCTCTGTAGCGGGATCTCGCGGAGAGACCCATACTCCCCCAATGGAGGGCTTGGGACCACGCACTTTCCAGGCACTCCCGTCTATCATAGTGTCATCTTCCTCGTATCCTCCGTATCGTTCTCATGCTGTACTCTATCGTTGAAAGGTCGTCACGTGTTGATCCTTGTGAGCTCTCTGCGATTCTTCTACCAAATACGCTATCGTCGTCATCGATCGGACCGATGAAGGGGCTCACACGTTTCATTCTCACGCCGGCTGCACAACATCCGTGTTATTGATCGCTTAGAGACGGATGAACATGAGGATAGTAGTACGGTGGTCCACACTGGGACGCTTGAGAAGGAACGAGACTCAATGCCTCTCTTCATCTTCCCTCCGCCACTCTCTCGTGGACTTGGTTCTGGTGGTTGGTCCTGTTTGGTGGTGTGGTGTCCGTGCGTCTGTGTGATGTTCGGTCTCTCCGTGACACAAATAACGCAACATCTCTGGACCACTCTGTCGGCTCGTTTCTTGCGCTGGATGGCCCCAGACTGTCACGTCCTTAGTGAGCTGTCTATTGACGTCTCTTATACCTGTAGACAGACCCAAAGGTGACCAAATTCTCCAGGGGTATATATAAAGCTGGTTATTGCTGAACAGTGATTCTTACCTCCAATAAAGGCCACTCCGATCGAATAAAGACACATACAGAATGAAAACCTCATGCTTAATAAACGAACACGCTTGAGCTAACTTCAAAAAGAAGGGAAAACCTCTTAAAGGAGCCCAGCCTCCATTACCCAATGGTATAATCTACTCCACACACAATTAGACAATACGATTATGGAGCCACTGTAGAAAAGGCCCATTGTGAAGCAATTATATACAGGACACATACTACTGGATAAAAAGGGGGGTTTTTTTTTTTACCCTTTCATATAGACACATTACTACATTATCATGGACCCTGTAATTGACAAAGTGTCACGTATATAGTCTTACAAGGGGCTGTTGAAAGTTTGTCAGTGCGTTCACGGCTCGATTTTTGGGGATTTGATTGGGGAGAGTCTGACCTTTGTCGGAGAGAGGAGAGAGTGGACTGTTACCACAGTCCGAATGTTCCGAAGCATGGACCCCAAAGGAACAGACAGTGGGTAGATCACGAGAGAGAAACTGAGAGGGGCAGCCTACGATTGTCGGAAACCTAGCAGGATGGCAACACTTGTTTTCACAAGTTATGGATGTCTCTTTTTCTTGTTCAGATCACCGCACATACATGTAGTACTGCAGCCGTGATTCTCTCACAGGTTTGTGTGTCCGAAAATTGACATAGGGAGCCCGCATAAGGAATAGGGGGGTATATACTCACAAGCAATGTACCAACTCCACTGAGGCATGCAGTATACCACACACATACACATTGGGTGGTTGTCGGTATCCCTGGGCGGGTACAAGTGAGGGGCAAGGCCAACACATGTGGATAACAGAGTGGGGCCTCACAAGCGGCAACGAGTTGAAGGAGGACGGGGAGGATGTCTCCACGCGCGACTACAGTCAGCCAGAGACGGATCCCACCGGCGCACTCGACACTCTGCGACGGATATTATTTCAGGTTGTGTAGACTACTACAGTTGATGACAGTTCAGGTACCAAAAGCTTGTTGTAAGCGATTTACTGTGCTAAGCTCTGTGGTGTGCTAAGATCTGGGAGCTAGCAACGACAGCGATGTCAAAAAATTATGGAATGCGGCATGACAAACATTGCCAAAG